AAGGGCAACTTACTACAAAGAGATCATTAGAATTCCCGCCCCAATGCCGAAACTTCTAGAAGCTCCATTAACATACAACGTCTAGTACGGAAGAGAAGGAGAAGCACTCGGTTGCTCACTAGATATAAGGATGATGCATTCAACTACAAAATCTATAAGTGCTAGAGATTTGATACAGGGCCTAGGCAAGTAGTGAATGTCAAACTCTCCTAGCTCCACATACCACTTGATTAATTTGCTAGATGCTTCTAGATTTTGTAGGACGCTTCTCAATAGAAGATTTTTATAAATCCCAATTATGTGGGCATGAAAATATGGGTGTAGTTTTCTGATGGAATAAACTAAAGCTAAAGCTGTTTTATCAACTAATGGATAAAGTCCCTTTATTTTAGATAAGATTTTACTAACGTAATAGATGGAACGTTATATAACATTTTTTTCTACCAAGACCGAACTAATAGCTTGGGCAAAAACAGTTAGGTACAAATACAACTTTTCTCCAATTATAAGTTTTGAAAGTAGTGACGGAGATGCCAAATACTTTCGTAACTATTCGAAGGCTTCTTGACATTCATCAGTCTATTAGAATCCTGAGCTACGAGTACATCTGAGTATCTTGAAAAAATGACAGATATTTATCTCCTATGCGGGCCAGGAAATGAGGCAGTATTGCAATCCTTCCAGTTGGTTTCTATGCTTGATATTCCTCAGGGGCAACATATCATTTAGTGCCTTAATTTTTTTAGAATTGGCTTCAATTCATCGGTGGGTCACCATGAACCCTAAGAACTTTTTGGAAGCAACTCACAAGCACATTTGATAGGTTTGAGACGCATATTGTATCGTCGTAGAAGGTGGAAGCACTATTCTAAGTCAGATATATGTTGAAATTTTTTAAAGCTTTTCATCAACATACCCTCGACATATACGTCCAAAGTGTGTCCAATAAGGTCTTTGAAAACCTTTTTCATAAGCAACTAATATGTAGCTCTCTAGCATTTTGAGCTCGAATGATATAACCGGATAGTAGTATAACCCATTGTCTGTTTGAAAAGCTGTTGCCTTCTCATCCGTAGGATCCATCTTTATTTGATTATAACCGGAGTAGGCATCCATGAAGCTCATCATTTGATGTCCAGAGGTGGTAGACCAACTTGTCAATACGAGGAAGTGGAAAACTGTCCTTTGGGCATGTCATGTTAAGAACTGTATAGTCTACACACTTTCTCCAAGCTCCACTAGCATTTCACACCATGACGACATTCGCCAGCCAAGTGAGATAGTGTACTTCCCATATAAATCTAGCCTCCAAGAGTTTATTAACTTCCCACTCGGTTATTTGCTGATGCAAAATTTTATTTCTTCTGGATTACTAGCTTGCATGTCATGTTGACACGGTTAAGCCTGCCTAAGATAGTAGGATTATGGTACTTGTTTATCCCCACATACTATACAGACACCCGTCGGGGTAAGAAACTTCAGTTTAAGGTGAGGGATAGAGATGATAATCCTAAATATAGACTAGAGTGACCTTCCAAAGATAGCATTGTAAGCCGATTCTGATTTTACTATAATAAATTAGATGGAGTGCATAGTTTGTCGGGGGAATTCTCGAAGTACAACTAAGAGACTAATTGATCATTCTACTCCTACAGGTCGATTATTAAACCTATACAGTGGATCTAGCACAGGTTGAAGCTTTTTTCTGGTGAGACCAATATTGAGAAAACTAGAATATAACAAGACATCCACGAAGCTCGCGTTATCCACCAAAATTCTTTTGACTTTGTAACACGGGTTACCTATCCCAACATTAATCACAAGCGGATCTTGATGATAGATTAACTCCATCCAAACCAGAATCATCAAAAGTAATAAAATGATTGATACAGGACTTCTTTGGTGTAGACTTTTCATCTACTATAAATAAGATTTGATTAGTAATGAGGGATCCCCTGTAATGGTTTCATTCTCTCCAACCATTTAACGATTATTCAACGATTGTCTTTTTTGTTGTTTATTTTGCCCCTTAGTGGGACGAGACTCATCTCGAGCTGGTGGATCTTGAATAAAACGTCAAAGGTAGCTTTGTCGGATAAGTCTCTCAATTTCATCATTGAGCTGCTTACAGGCTTCAGTGGTGTGCCCACGATTATGATGGAAATAACAATATTGATCATAATTTCCTGTATTCGACATCAAAGGTTTCAGCTACTTCACATTCTCCTGATTTCGGATAGCCATCAATACATTTTCTCGAGAAGCATTGAGTGGTGTATACTCGTCTTATCGAGGCTCCGATCGTGGCAATGGGGGTGTAGGAGACAGATTATTTTTCTCTGGTTTCTTTTGCTGCGAGAACGAGTTATCCACTCTTGGTGCACTTTTATGCTTTCTATTTGTTTGCTTAAACTACTTTCTATAAGCATTTATGATTTCGCCTGTAGAGATTTGTGCCTCCACGCGGAGGATCAGGCCAACGCATGAATGAATCGTGTCTCGCATAAGTGCTAAGTAAAAAGGGATCAGTACAGATGCCTCCAAGAAAAACTCCTCTCAACAATTTAGGATCAACTCTTGAAATTTGCCGAGCTTCGATGAAAAATCGTTGAAAATACTTCTTAAGCGATTCTCCTTTATTCTGGCGAATCCCAGAGATGTGAGAAGAATCCTTAATAATTCTTCGATAGGCTATGAATTGTTTGACGAACACTTTGGCCAATTTAATGAATGTGGGGATCGTTTCGGTTGGAAGTGAATAGAACCACATTCGAGCTTGTCCTTTGAGGGTGGTAGAAAAAACCTGACAGATGAGCGCGTCGAAGGCTCGCTGGATATACATGATGGTTCTATAGTAATCAATATGCTCAAAGGGTCGGATGTCCCATCGTAGGAATCGATGCTCGGTAGTTTGAATCTTGTCGGAATGGGGTGTTGAAGGATGGTTTCAGTCAGGGGTGATGACTCCTAGAAGCCCCACAGACGAAGAGACTGTTATCTACCTCCCACAGGGAATTTTCTCGGATCAATCGTCGCAGTTCATGATGTAGGGCATTGTGTGGGAGCTCAGTAATGTGCGGTTGGGCAAAGTCCTTAGGGAGGGATGTCTGGAGGAATACGAGGTTTCCGACCTGTATGTGAAGGATTAGAACTTGTTGTGTCAGCAAGTTCATTGTCTTGATATGATGGAGGATGCATCTTTGATTGGGGAAGAGGAATATCTGTATGAAGATGTTCAGAGCAAATACCTTCGACTAGTGGTGGATCTCGAGGTAGAAGAACCTCCTCTTATTGTGCCAGTGCCAGTTGCCGAGTCTCTCGTAGAAGTCGAAGGATCTCATTTTGAGATTCTTCCATCTTTCAAATATGATATTCTAAAAAAAGGTCCTGAAGTTTCTTCTCCAGTAATGTTTTGCCCACTAGGATAAAAAGAGGCAGATGCTTGACATCCATGATTCATAGACTGATTTCTAGATTGATGTGTGTTGGAGAGGGAGGCTTCTAAGATGTGATTGCTACATCCGTTGTCCATTGAGTCAGTGCTTAGAATAGTGTGATGGTAGTTCCCATAGAAGGCGTCAAACAATTGTGGGCTAGAATATACACAGCGATAGAGTTAGAATTTTTCGTTTTAGTGTTGTACGGATATCCAACATACAAAAAGAAGTACAAATAAATACCAAGATTTTTGTGTGAAAAACCGTGGAAAAAGAGTAAAACCACGGGACCACACCCAGTTGAAATAATTTCACTAGTGTTTGAATAGATTACAGGTGACTGATTCATCCTTGAAATTGAGAATGATTAGATTATAATGGTCAACTATTAAGTTGAAATCTAGTTACAACAGAGTTGCACGAAAGTCCAACATCAGTCCATGGCCGGGCAAAAATCCAGCATCAATCGGCGGATGAGTGTAAGTTCGGTTTGATTCGATTATTAGCATGTCATGTTTCGAAATCGTTTGGTAATCTAAATTATGGTTTGAACCTTCCAAATGTCTTCGGGTCTTCGATTTGGACCCATTTAACCTCTCATTGTGTCAAATTTGGCGTTGTTGGGTTCGTAATTCTGGGGCGTTCAGTTCGACTGTATGTTTAATGAAATCGGAGTTCGGATGGTTCCAAATTTAATTTTGGAAGTTTCCAACTTGATTTTGCCTCGAGATTCGTGCCTGATCAAAATAATTTTTTGATGATACATTATAATGAGAGTTGTAACTGCTTACCAACCACTTCAATTTCTTCAGTCGTAGAACAAACAATGTCCTCAAAGAAAGGCACGCAAGACAACCAAAACTTTGGAAGCATTAGGAACATGAGAGGTCATGAGGTCTTTTTAGTTTAAACAAACAGCATGTGAGGGGCAAGAGGAAGGCAAACTGATTGGCCCAAAACAGTGGCGGCCAAAATGTCAAAGAGAAAGAAACAGAGGTTAAGAGGGGGGAAATCATTGTGGTTCATAAGAGATGAAAGAGTGACCAGCAGCAAAGCCGGAGACAAAAAGGGGAGGGGACCACAAAATGGAGGATTGCCGGCAAGCCAAACAAGAAGAGGAGGTTGCTGCAAGGGGAGAAAACCCAACCAAGGCCCGCATTTTGCCCCACCCTTGGGTTCGGAAGTAGAAGGTTTTTTTTTCCTGCTATCAGCTACTTAACTGTTAACATTTTCAATGTGGACTAATAGGAAGCATTGAAAACATTTATGGATCTAATGGTCTGAAGTTAAAATATAGAGATCAGCATTTTTTTTCTAAAAGAAGTAGTTTGCTGGAAATGGAAATGAATTGATAGGCACCGGAGGGGCACATATATTAGTAGACTTGAGAGTAGTAGAGGTTTAAAGGAACAACAAACATAGTGAATAAGCAAGGAAAAGAAAGAATGTGAGTAACGTTTGACAAAGTCCATTTCACTAGTAATATTTTAAAAAGCTTATATTCAGTAATAACATATAAGAAAATAAAGCCTAAACAACAATAGAAGTATGACAGTAACACACCTTATCAGATTTAAGACCATGCAAGTTTTTGTAAGCATTTTGACGGAAATCATTAGCGGTCTTCCACTTCTGTTCATGCTCTTTTACTTTATTAAACTGATCAATATAGCTTTTGCTAACAGACTTTAAATATTCATCAGCCTTCAAGTGAGCATTTCTTAGTGTGTCAAACTCCTTCTTCAAAATCTACAACACATCACCATCATGTACATTGGTAACAAATCATAAAAAAAAAAATATCAGTGAACATAATTGATGAAAAATACCTTAAAGCTAGATTCAGCTGTTTCTTTCTGCTTCAGAGCGTCATCAATTTCCAACTGGGAACACTTGTTGAAAGGGTGGAGTTCTCGTTCATTTTTCAGCTGATTCAGCTCATGCAAGTATTTCTTCTCATCTTTTAAGGATATTGTTTCATGTTGCATCTTGTACTCTAAAGTATGAATCTATATTCATCAAAGAAAAACTCTTAGTTGATAGTTAACAAAAGAGATGCATAGTTTACTTGAATTAAGAAAGCCCCCAAGTCATACCCGAGAAATAATGTCTAAGAACGAGGCAGCAGTCTTTCCTTTGCTAATGACAGTCTGGATAGAATCCATCTCTAAACGTTTAGCATTCACCAAAGCTTTAGCCTTTTTCTCTTCTTCGTTTGTAGAATCTCTTTTGTGAAAGCAGTCTGAAAGTACTTTCTAAATAACAGTGGAACTTAACTGTTATTACGCAGAATCATAGATAATCAGATTTGAAGGATTATAAAGCAAACCTTTTATTAAACTTACCCTCATGTTATCGAGCTCAGCTTTTAGAGAATCTCGTCTTCGAGTGTGTTCATCCACTTGCGCATGAGCATCAGTAATTTTTGCTTGGTGTTCATCATTGATGACTCTCTGAGTGAATCTGGGAATTTTGATTAAGCGATACTTCTTGGCAGCCATCTCAGCCTTTTCTAGATCACCATCTGGAGCTGAAGAGGCTTCATTGCCTTGTTGTTGTTGATTGTTCAAAGCATCCATTTTTTCCTCTGACTTTAATTCCATTTGTTGCTCCTCTATCTCCCCCAAGCTCTTTTCAAGATGGATTTTCTTATGTTCAGTTAATTCAGTGTCTGATTTGAGGTCTCTCGTTTCATGAACAATTTCAATCCTTGAACTCTCAACACTCTGCTCCGCTGCATTTAAGTCCTTTCTCCTATCCTCCATCCCTTCCTTAGCTTTCACAGGCTTTGACACCACCTCTACTAACTCGGTGGCTGATTTTAGCTCTCTCTTTTCATTTTCACCCTCAGTTACCAAAGCTTCTGCATTCTGGTTTTCTTCTGACTTAGAAGCTAAACCAACATCCTCCTTAACCGGCTCAGGTATTGAATCAATGGATGGAGCATCTGCATCTTGAAGTTCTCCTACTTCAGAGGTTGAAGCCAAGAGTCTAATAGGCTCAGTGTTTGAATCGATGAATGAAGCATCCAAATCCTGTTTTTCTTCTACCATAGGAGCCAAACTCACGTCTTCCTTGTGCTCAGGGTTTGAAGCAATGAATAGCATCTTTGCATTCTTGTCCTCTTCTGCTTCAGGTGCTGAACTAGTGGACAAAGTTGCATCATATTCAACTTCTGCTTGAGAAGTGGAACTAATGAACTCCTTCACAGGCTCTGTGCTTTGGCCAATAGATGAAACCTCTGCAGCCTGGTATTCTTCTACTATAGGAGCTGAACGACTGTCTTTCATGACAAGCTCATCAATTAACTCGACGGATGAATCATTCTCCTTCTCTTCAATTTCGAACTTTGGCAGAGAGGCATTGACATTGTGCTGTTTTAACAGTTCAACAGACGTAACTAATTCTCCACTTTCACCGTCAGAAACGGCTAATGTAGCTTTAACTTGCAGGTTTTCATCTACTTGAGTAACTGAGTTTTTTTCATTCTCCCAATCAATACAATTGGACAAATCATCATTGGCTATCTTCCTATCTATAACTTCAGAAGCAGAATAAACTTCATTATCCATATGATCAGCAATTTCAGATTCGACATCCTTGATTACTTCTATGTTGGTATTCTTGCGTTCTTCAACTTCCAAGTTGGAATCTACTCCCTTCGTTGCAGCATCCCTGACTGAAGATTCGACATCCTCACACTCTTCACGATTGTCATCCCTCCTATCTTCAATATCAAAAACAGAACTAATTTTCTCCTTTGAAGATTCAACATCCTTGATTCCTTCGTCATTAGTATTCCTGCTTTCATCAACTTCCGAGTTGGAATCTACTCCTTCATTAGCAGCATCCGTTAGTAAAGAGTCCACATCCTCACATTCTTCATGATTTTCATCCTTGCTATCTTCTATCTCATGAACAGAACTAATTTCCTCCTTTGCAAGCTCAGAAGAATTGATTTCCACGGCTACTTCATTGTTGGCATCCCTTCTTTCTTCAATTTCAGAAGCAGAATCAGCTTCCTTCTTCTCAGTTATAGAAGACTCAACATCACCAGTTTTTTGTTCACTGCCTTCCTTCAGTTCTTCAATCTCAGGAACAGATTCAGCTTCATTGTTCATAAGTTTGGTGACTGCAGACTCAACAGCATCACTTATGCCGATCAGTAATTCCAATTTTATATTCCTATCCACAAAACCAGATGAAGATGACTGTGCGGAAGAAGCTCCGACAGTAAGTCCTTCATTGTCACTGTCCACTTCATTCTTAGCATAAGAAACCTCTGTTCCTTCAGATACTTGCTCTTCGGTGCCCATGATTACTTCATCTAACTTATTCAAATATTCAATGACCGCCTCCATTTCATTCTTTGAATCTTCCACAATCACCACTTCCTCTTCAACTTGATTCTGCTCTTTATTTTTCAAATCTTCAACAACTATGGGATCTATGGCTTCATCTACAACATACAAACCTTCAATAATTATATCCTTTTCATTTTTTGAATCTTCAACCATCAACAGCTCCTCTCCCACTTGATCCGATTTTTCAGTTTTAAAAACTTCTATGTCCACAACTTCATCTTTATTATTCAACTCTTCAATAACTGCATTTTTTTCTTCCTTAGAATCCTCAACAGCCACAAAACCCTCTTCTACTTGATCCTTCTTTGCATCAACAACAACCATTTCCTCCTCATGCTCCTCTAATTTCTGAGCATGATCTGTTTTCGTAGATTCATCAATAAATTCTTCAAGCTCTACAGGCATAGAGAGAATTTTCTGAGCTACCTCACCATCATGAGCATCATCTTCTCCTCCAACCACATGATCATCTTTTCCTTCATTCTCAGCAGAAAAAGAGTCCCCCAATTTTCTCTCCTCCTCACGCTCATTCCCCTGTCTCTCCACGCCATTATCCCCCTTGCTTTCCTCAGCACTCCCACCATCTACAAAAGTAGAACCTGAATCAGCAACCAATAGATCTCCTGCGCCTCCTCCACCACCACGGACATCCATTTCCAAATCTTTCTCAGACGAATCCGATCTCGCATCCGAATCACCGCCGTTCATCACCATTACAAATGAACCATCAGTCCCGCTCCCATCATTATCGTCACCCTCCCGGCACGCAATGTGCTCAATTTCTCCTCCCATCTCCCTCGCCTTCTTCATCTCCAGCTCTGCCCTAGCAAGATGGTCTCCCTCAGTTCCAGCGCCGCCACCCTCGTTCTTCTCCACTGCCATTGCTAGCCCTCTACCAGATCAATCGAATCAGCTCACAATCGAAATCAATATGGAATCTTCGTGGAATATACAACAATGAAACTGGCAAAGTTTACAGATCTGGGATAGAAATTTAAAAACGAAAAAAAAAACAGAGAAAATTTACTTGTCGGTGGCGCCGGTGATCTGCTCACAGTTGGCGTAATCGTAGTGCGGGATTCAATCACATGACAAGGAAAAAAGTAATGCGTCCTCGATCTCCCTTTGCTCAATTCAAATTGTTTGATCTCTACTCTCCCCTTCAGATCGGATGAACAGAATAGAAACAGAGAGAGAGAGAGAGAGAGAGAGAGAGTAAGAGAGGGAGATAGAAGAGGTGATTTAAACAAACCAAAGATTAGTTGATTTTGTTCTACTTCTTCGGACGCAGACCATTATTTGAATGATTTACTTCACTTCCTTAATTAACCGCTCAAAATTTAATGATATGCCTTTTTATGTTTATCTGTTGGTCAAATCACATTGCTGTTTTTTTTCTTACGTCGATAGTACCAAATTAGTAATTCCATAGCATTAACAAAAGAACGTCGTTTTCTACTTCTTAGCTCCTTCCCACAATAAGAATTATTGCAAGTTTTTAACTTCAGTTGGAGATTTATCGGTGAATTACAGAATTTTTGGTTTTATAGAATTTGATTGTTGAAATATAACTTTAATGTATGAAAAAAAAATGACCAAAACTTTTAAAACCTTTACCCATGCTAGTTGCTACCTACATAAAAATAGATTTTTTATTTTTTTACATAGGCTTTTATTGGGGACAACTTTCTTATTGCTTCTTAAAACAGCTTTCTTATAAAAAAAAAAAAATTGTTTTATGAAGCATGAAGAAAGTCATTCCAAATCAAGTCATAGTCTTCTGTGCTTTCCCACTTCCTTTTTAAAAAGTTTTTAATACAAAATTTTCTTTCAAAAAAACTTTACATTAAAATTTTGCTGTATAAAACAATATAAAAGCTATCTCAAATGAAACCTCTATTCACAAAAACTTTGAATGTTTTATCTGATAACTAACAATATTTGCACAAGTGTTATTGCCTGGAATGATTACATATACAATATTAGAAACATATATATTTATAAATGAACTTTTATGTTATGTTTTTGAACTACAAATTTATATATATATATATATATATAAGTTGATATTTTATTGTGAATTTTGATATTTGGATGATAATTTAAAAATGAGACAATTGGCCCTACAATTCTATGATAATTTTTTTTGGATGGGCAGGTCCATCATTAAAAATTAATGAATTGGATTACTTTATAAATTTGTCACGATGGAATGGATAAGTTCAAAATTCTTACTTCTTCAATCTTATTAATATATAAAAATAGCTTCTGTTGGATCTAACTTTGTTCGTAAATGTGGCATGACCATACTAGGAGGTAACCTTTAAGTATCAGTATGAAATGTACGAGAAAGAGCTCTCGAATTTCTATGCATCTCACACCACATATTATGAAGGTCAAAAGATTCAAACTATACTCATTCAACCTTCACTACTAAAAATTAAATTATTTTACAACATTTTTTTTTTTTTTTTGCAGTTTCGAAATCAATGTTGTAATTAATGATCTATGCCAGCAGTTTAAACTGCCATCTTTAGAAGATGGTTTATACCGCTTCAAATTATGAAGGTCTAAACTGCCTATAGCCCTAAATCGATATATATATGACAACCTCGGCTCAAGTCTCTTCATCCTCTACTTTGTACTGCTCTTCTCTCCTCATTCTGAGCTTCCCCTTCAATCTAGAGTTTCAATTGAGCGTCCATCCCCCCATCATCGTGATCAGGCTGTCCATCCATTCGACGTTATTGTTGCTATTGAGCAACTCGATAAATTACACAGTATAACTCTTTGATTCAACATTGATTAAAATTTTTTAAAGTTTCTTAAGGAGATTTTTTTAATCTCTTAGATTAGGGTTTTTTTTTTTTTTGTTGAAAGCGTTAGCATAGCTTCTTTAATAGGAAATGATGAAATTATATAATAATGCACTTGATAAATATTATGTAACATATTTGGCTTTACACTCTTCATTATAACTAGGGGTGTCAATATTTGACACGGCACAAAAATCAGACTCGAACCCGACCCAAAAATTTTGGGTTTGACCTGACTTGAATTCAAAACTGATCGTGTTCGAGTTCCAGAATTCGATCCGTTTGAAAAATGGGTCGGGTTCAGGTTGACCCGACTGGTTGCTTGGTCAACCGGAAAACCCGTTTAAAATGAGATTCCTGCAAACATGCCCTTTGCATATTATATATATATATTTGTAATTATATTGTATGTTTGTTCACAGTGATTTTACATGGAGTTTATTCTTATTCGATATAATGATAATTAATGTATTTATAAAGAATTATAGTTTATACGATAATAGTTATTATTTTATAAAACCTGTCAATGATTTTTTTATTATCTTACATTGAAATGGATGCTCTTTGTCATTTTAAATCATATTTTATAATGAAGCTTTTAACTTTTTAAATTACTACTACAGAAAAACTAAGGTTTTTTTTTTGAGTCTTCCCTTCTGAACCTTGCGTTGCTTTGTGTTCTTTTTCTCTAAACTTATTTGTTTGTCTACAATATTTCTAACCTATTTTCAGGCATATTTTCTATTGCCAATAACTATTGCATTCTTAATTGATTTACATGTGGATTGATTTGATCCATTATGACAATAATTTTTTGTTTGTTGGAGAAATGCAAGATGTTGAGAAATTTAAAAAAAAATTGCAACTTTTGTGAAGTTTTAATTGCCACAATGCTATAAATTTGTGATAGTACTAATTGCTGCAATTCTATAGATAATTTGGCGATTTAAACAGTTCCTAGCAAGTTCACTATATGGTGTTTTAACTGCTGCAATAGATACAGTAAAGTGGAAATTATAACCACCGCCAATATGTAACATTATTGCAGTTAAAATCACTGCTATAATTAACACTTCATTCATTTTCCCCAAAGGTCCTAAAATCATCATGAAATATCTTTGCAGTTAACTGTAATCATAGTTGTCTTGTAATAGATTTAGAACCGCTACAAGAAATTTAGCGGTGGTTAAAACCACCAGAAATGCCTAAAATTTGTGATATGATAGCCATTTTTGGGTAGTGCTTTATTTATAAGAGTTAGAACATTATTGCAAATGCTATACCTAAAAAAATAGAATGTACAATTTATACTACGACTATTATAGACAGTCATGGATGTGTGGCTTAGTTGGTAGATTTTCATGTAAATCCCTACGTTAGGCACTTCATGGGAGAGTGCCTTGAGCGAGTCTCATGACATGGTATATAGGAGCCTATAAAGGCGAGTCCCCCTGATATGAAGGGCAAGTCCATTAAAGAGCTATTCAGACCTCCAGGCATAATGGGCAAGTTCCCTGGAGTGAGAATGGTTACTAAGTGAGAAATAACTCAATTTGGGATGTCCTGGATAAGATCTTTTGAGGTATTTTCTTTTTATATCCAGATCAAGGATGTCAGTGATAGGTAGTTGACCATGATTACGGATAGATCTTGTAGGCATGAGATCCCCATCTAGGTGAGTAACCTAGAGGAATTAGAGTGGTTTGGATGGATCCTTTGATGGGTCTAGCCAAGAATGATTATGCCCTGGCTAAGCCTGCCAAGATAAGTTTTCATGTTGCCATTCTTTTAGGCGAGAGTGACCATAAATCTATGGTTCAGTGTCAGTCAACCTATAATATATTACCCTTATGAGAGTTCCTTGTTGGGTGATGTGACCATATTGGTCTAATTTGTTGATTGAAACCTATAAAGCACATGTTAGAAACCTTTTTTATAAACATGTGCAACCACACATTCATTTCTCCAATTCACTTAAACCTTTGAATGATAAGTTAAAAAAAGGGTAAGTTAATTAAAGATGTTGGCTCCAAAAATTCGAACCCAGCCTCCACCCATTTTTTTTTTTCGGGAGAATTTTAACAGAATTAAATGTCGGGGTAAATTTTGGGAAGGAAGATGGGTTTGTAGATAAGACACTGCCCACAAATTTCACACTCTTTTTATGAGGACTTTATGATCTGAGTTTTAGTTTCCTATAGGTGCAAGCCCCTATAGTTAATTACCCCTCCCAAGCACGAGAGTGAACTTTCGATTAAGGCTATTCATTGATAAAATACGTAAAGATAAATAATATTTAGTATATAGTATAATCATATTTTGAGAATTGAAAGTTTGAAGGGTTGAAAGATTTGATATTTAAAATAGAAATTTCACCATTTTGTACTTAAAGCATATGGCGGGGGAATGAATGATGGACCCAATCAAGATCCCATGGTTCCATTATCCCGGGCCATCATGGTCCCTGGTTTACTTAGTCAGAGGAGGTAGTTGATCCAACCTGATAGAAGGATCCTTGTTGATAGCCATGGGTTGCTTCATCTAAGGTACCTTGTAGATCTATGGTGGATGTTTGTCAAAGGAGACAAATTTGAATCCACCTTAGCTAACAGAGGGCTTTGTGCCCTATTGATCAAATCTTATTGATTCATATCTCAAGGATTTGATGCCACTAAGGAACGTATTGGCTCTGGCCATAATAGGTACTTTGTGGTGCCATTTAGTGGCAAAACCACTCAGTTCATATGGCCCTAGGTCATAACCATTTATCGTGCGGTGTTATTTGGCGGCAAAGCCACTGGTTAGTGGATATGTATCACATCCTTACTACCAGGAGATTATTTGAGAATGGATCGCAATGATATTTTCAATTAGGCATTAGCTCTATGCGAGCTGAAATATTTTTTAATTTATCCACCTCGACAAATTGTTGTGGATGATAGATGAATTTTACTTTAAGCTGTTAGATGGTTGATTTCAATTTTAAACATCTTTGGATTTTTTGGGATTTCAAAATTTAAATTTTATGACATTTGGATATTTGGGAGGCATTTTAAAGTGTTTGTAAACCCTCGGGTTGAGATAAACATTCAACATCACCATCATTGGGGTGTTTAGGGTCATTTCCATTTATTGATTGAACCTTATCGACTCTGTCTACTGGTCAATAGATGATCGAGCTCATAGGCTTTATGCTTTTGTTGATGGATTTTTTTGTTGAAGGCTTTGAAGGCATAATATGAATGTATTAAAAAAAGTATCTCTGTCGACCTTGCGACTACATATTTATTTAATGATTCGAGCATTGTCAACCCCTATCTACCTGCAAAGGAGGATAAGGCTCAAACTTTCTTACATTTATTGACCCGCACAGCATTCATAGACATCACGTGTATATCAAAACGGGTGTTTGGGGGTATTTTATAATTACTTGTTAAACCTT